CACATTCCGTAATAAAATTTATACCGCAAGTCTTTCAATTCGTTTGTGAAACACACACACCCGTAACACCATATTCGCGGTGTTATGAATGAACTTGTCAGAGTGCGCAGATATCGAATAACAAGAATGTGAATTACAGAATGACGAAACAATGAAGTAGCGAGGCCTAAATAGGGGAAATCCTAGCTAGGCGAAGAGGTAGGGCGAAGATGGCTCGGTGATGGTTGCGATTGGTGCGGAGGCCGACTCGGGAGTGGTTCGGCCGACGAAATAGGCCGAACAGGTTCGTCGCGTGACCTTCGGGATGTACTCGCTAAAGTGCGAGTACAGTAAGGAATTGTAATTCCTTACACTCTCCCACCTTCCAAATAAGGCAACCCTGTACTGAAAACAGGCCCGACACTAGCGAGGATTCCGTAGATCTCCCCTTCAACTGAATCCGACGGCTGGAATGCCTCAGGCAATATTTTGAAAAAAATTGGTATGTCGGCCGTTGATGTAGTCAGATTTCGATCTGACGGATGAAACTCGTCTTGACCAATTCGAATTAAGGTTGGAATTATGACCGTTGATGAATTCCAATGTCAATCTGACGGTTGATGATGACGCGAATGTGGAGGGAGCAGTCTGACACGAAATCCAATCGCGGCTGCTCAAGTACGTTGATTTCGTTGTCGCGATCTGCTGCATTCTGACAAAGTCAGAATGTTGCCGAGAAAACGCCAAGGAAAGAAAAAAGTGCAGCGCACTTTCTCCCCCCCTCCAAGAAATACACCACAGAAAAAGATTCGCAGCTGTGCCGAGATGAAAACAACAAAGACCAGGTGGTAAGTCCCACTGAGGAAACGTTGAGCAGAGAAGGCCGAGTGAAATCACGTCGGTGTGGAAATTCGATGACGAAAGCAGTTGTTACGTGCTCCAAAATTCTCGTGACGAAAACTCTGTATTATCCGAACTGTCCAATGCATGTCCTCGCGCGCCAGAATCATGCCATATCATCGGCAGTTGCAGCTGGCGGCACCTGACGTGGTCAGAAATAAATGCTGTTGTCGTAGGCGGGTCTGGTGGTGGAATGTCCTGTCCCGAATCCTCTGGCCGTGAAATCGGGGTGGTACGAAAATGTCGGCGAAGAAGGCGATTTGTGAGGAAGGTGAAAACGAGAGTCGGCGATGGTCGTCCAAGGTGTAACCAAACTCGATGTCACTCCAAACATGTTGTCGAACGCGATTCTCCGTGTTAGATGACGTCAGCTTCTCCGGCAGGTTTGTCCAGACTCGCCGAGAAGTTTGTCGCAATGCGCCGAGGGCTCCTGGGCAGAGATGAAAAATTTGCAGCTGTCTCCCCCCCCCCCTTCCACTGTTGCTGCCGCCTCCTCCAGTTCGTCGTAAGTCGTTCGTACCCCTGAGAAAATCCGTGTAGTTCCCGCGCTGTTGTCCCACGTAAATGTCGCGCGCGTTTGACCAAACGCCGATGAAATCCCACGAAATTGTTCGGCGCTCTCCGCCGTAAAACGGTAAGTCCTCCGTCAAACTCTGAAATTGTCGCTTGAAACAACCTTGTAAAATCCGCAATTGCAGGTGCAACCCTCCTCCGAAATCTTCGGTCGTACTATAGCCGCCCACTCGGTCACCATCAGTTTCCGTCGGTTACCCGACCCCAGCATGTGGGTTCTATCGAGAACTGGGACTGCCCTGGGTTATTCCGAGACCGAATTTCACGGAACCTAGTGGCATCAACGCCGTTGACCCCGTCGTCTAGGCTGCTCCCGCCGATGAGTTTTAACTGAAAACCACGCAAACTCCCACTGGCGCTTTGCAGATGTTTCACCCATCGCTCGTCATCGGTAGGTAAATCCCGAAACTTTGGCTGCTCCCACGCTTCCTTTTACTGAAGAACTTCCCACAGTGTACGTTTAAACACCAGTGGGTTCTAGGTATCCCCGCCGCTGTGTTTCTTGCCAGGCAACTTAAAAAGTGCCCTTCAGGCGAAGTCCCCCAACGGCTCAACTGCACTCCAAGAAGCGAAGAAACACCCTCAGCTCCAACCTCGTGTTTTTTTTTAGAAAGATAACCCCGAATATCGTGGTTGAGGCAACAGTCCCGAAGTTATTCTCCGCTGTGTAGCCCCGACTTTTCCGCCGTAAACCTAGTACTCCGATGTTCACCCATCTTAATACCAGTCGGAACCACTTAGCGAATCCCGGACATCCTTGGCAATGTACCGCTCGCCGCGCCTCCATGTAACAATTTCGAACCCTTTCGGGTGTCTACCGAATAGACTCCGAAATTCGCGGTGGATTGGTCCACGTTCTCAACCTATCACTCAAGTGATCTGCTGGATCACCCACAACTTTCCCTCCGTCGTCATCAATTTTTTCGTATTCACCCCCCGACAATTCCGCTTCCCGCCGTTCACCCAGCGTCCGCTTTTGTCGGATGGGGTATCGTCGTTGTTGCCCGCGCGAACTCGGCCACGGTGGAGAGGCAAAATCTATCGGAGTCGGGTTAGCCTTAGTTAAAAGGAAACTGTCGCCCAACCGTTTTGCAGCCCGCCGTGCCTATCACGTCACGTAAAATCCACAGCTTCCCGGTCTCAGCTTCGCCGCTGCTTCCTGGTCTCTTCTTCTTGTAGACTGCACCATTTCTTCTTCGCAGTTCCTCGACTTTTTCGCGTGCCGTTCACCCAACCCGCTTTTGTCGGAGTAAAAACAGTGCCGCGAGCTCCTTTTTTTTTTTTTGTCTTTTTTTGTATAGCTGTCGAACGAGCACCAAACCAGGTGCCTTTAACCAGCACAGGGTAGGCGCGCGTTTCACCCCCGTTATTCGGCCAAGTAGGTTGACTGCATGAGTCAGAACCAGAACTTGGTGGGGATGGTGAGATTCGGGCGAAGTAGGGCTGCAGTAGGGTTGCCCCCGCAACGTTCTTCAACCCCCGCTTAGCCGTTGGGCCGTTTCTTCCCGAGTGTCCCGGCAGCCTGTACCGACCCCAACGAAATTGTTGGGCGGTACCTTGGACACCGTTTAACCGTGGGTTGTCAGCAGCTGTCCCCGAAAACAACGTCCCTAGTCAGGAGAAACTGTTCTCGATACTGCCGGCCAGCTTGCAACAACACCAGGCACGCAGCGTCGCACGAGTTTTTCCTGAGGTGTACCTGCCCCGATTTCCCTCGTCGCCTGCGTCCCACTTCCTCGTAAGTGGGATTTAGCCACCGCGTTTTCCGTTGCAGCCCGTAAGTGTCAGCAGGTATGAAGTCCCGTCTGTCCACGAGCACTCCTGCCGAAAATTGCTGATGACGCGCCCGCCAATGCAGTAAAAGCCGTCACACTTAACAGGTCGGGCGGGACGGCAGTTGACTCCCGCTAAGTCGGGCAGTCTTGTGTCGTCTCTCCTCGCCACCGACATTTTCGGACGCAAACTCCTTTTGCGCCTGGCGAGTTCCCCAGCCGACGTTTTCTTCAACAGAAGCTCCGAAATTTTCGCCACAGTGACGCACGTTCCTTGTCGCCAGCTGCCGAGCCACACTCCGTGAGTCGCGCGCGCATGATGACGACGAGCCACCATTGTCTCTTGCCGCATGGGACGGACTCCGAAGTTGTCGCGCAGTTGTTGACTCGGGTCCAACGTCATCAACTACCACACATCGTGACGAATTCAGAAAACTTCGTGCAGGTGCCGACGCAGGTCCGCTGACGCCAGCTGCCTCACAGTTTCGAAATCGTCGTTAAAACCGCAGCGGAATAGTAACTCACGTTTTAATGTCGCGACAGCTCGAGTTGTCCGTTGCCCGGGGGGAGGGAGGCCACGGTCGATCGCGACCGTTCGAGCTAAGGATCTGGCGGTGCCGAAGGAGGGCCCCGTAAAACTATGGCCGCGAGAAGCAACTAACTAGTTCTCCTGACCGGCCTACGCAACTCCTGGACCCCAAGACATCCTTCCTCGTCCCCCCCCCCCCCCCCCTCCCCCCCCCCGAGGGGTAATACACTCTAAAAAACGGGGTAGGCTAGGAAAGTAGCTCTGATACCAGGTGTTATGAATGAACTTGTCAGAGTGCGCAGATATCGAATAACGAGAATGTGAATTACCGAATGACGAAACAATGAACTAGCGAGGCCTAAATAGAGGAAAACCTAGCTAGGCGAAGAGGTAGGGCGAAGATGGATTGGTGATGGTTGCGATTGGTGCGGAGGCCGACTCGGGAGTGGTTCGGCCGACGAAATAGGCCGAACAGGTTCGTCGCGTGACCTTCGGGATGTACTCGCTAAAGTGTCAACCTAGCCAAACCCAACCTGTGAACCTCGCCTAGCTCGAGCCCACTCTGCACTGGTCATATCCTCGTTTTAGACATTAATTGCACATTCCGTAATAAAATATATACCGTAAGTCTTTCAATTCGTTTGTGAAACACGCACACCCGTAACACCATATTCGCGGCATTTTTTTCTCCCGTCACACTTCTGAAACACCTAAAAGCCCCGTATGTCGCGGAGATTTTCCACTTGCCTGCTCCATCCCTTTCCGTCGATCCTTAGTCGTCGAACCAAGAGCGGGTGTGAGGCTCAGGTGCTGGCCCAGGCGCATCGCTGCTCTTAGTGCGCATCGCTGCTATTAGTGCGCGTCTGCTCACGCGAGAGAGCGCAGACACGATAGCAGGTTGGCTTGACGGAATTAGCTGCGGGGGTGAAGTTCCGCTTACCTTTTCGTAGAACGACGTGCGTGGCGGGTCGCCCTATTTTTAGCGAGTTCGATAGCGTGCGATTTGTAAATGCAGATTTGGCAAGAAGGTGCTAGAATCTGTTTCGGCGGAAAGAGCGGAGATGGGAGCGGTTGGGAGCGGTGTTAGTAGATGTACAATCGGCAATAAGGTGCGTCCATGACGCATTCCTGGTGCGTGCGACCTCCCAAAAGTGTTTTCTAGGTGCGAGACAAGTGATTGGGAAGGCAATTGAGGAACGAAGCGTGGCGGCGGTGTTGGCAGTAACTCACCAGCAGCGCGACTCGAAATGACGGCGCGAGGCAAGCAGCAGCAGCATGCCTTGCTCCCTTCCTCCTTAATCTCCTCCGTCAACCCCGCGACTTTCTTCTCCAACCGCCCCGTGCGGCTCGTATTCGTCGGGTCGCTCCTCCTCTGCCTCTGCATCCTCCTTTCCGACCTCTTCCTCCAATCAAACGACGACGCGTCAGCCGCTCCCACCGCCGCGTCGCCCGCCGTCGCCGCCGCCGTCGCGTCCGGGCGCTACCCGACAAGAATATCCCCGCACGACACGCTCCGCTGGTTTCGAGAAGGGGCGCGCAGGGGGAGACCGGAAGGGGGAGCGGTAAGGGGAGCGGAAGGGGGAGGGGGAGCGTTGGGAGGATGGCAGCAGGGGGACAGGGGCGAGCCTGTGCGCGTGCTTCAGGCGGAAATCGCTCGCTATAGGGAGGGTCAGAGGGGCGTGATTGCAACGGGGCTGGACCATGACGGGGGGCGAGGGGACGGGGGAGGTTTGGCAGGGGGAGGGAAGGCGCAAGCTGGGGAGATGGGCGGAGGTATTCTGAGAGGAGAGGAGGGAGATGGCGGGGAAGCGGACGGGGCCGCAATGGCTGCTTTCATTCCCTCTTTATCCGACGCAGATGGTGACACGTCAGAAGAGGGTTCGTCTGAGTCAGCAGCGGATGGGCCGCCTGAAAGTGCAGCATCGTCCGCGGAAGAGCAAGCCTCTGCCCTGCTGGCCGCTGATACAGGGACAAGTGCAACAACAGCAACAGCAACGCCAGGCGCAGCAGCAGCAACAGCAGCAACAGAAGCAGAAGCAGCAGCGTCGTCAGCAGCAACAGCAGCGGCGGCTGCGGCGGCAGCAGCGGCGGCACAGGAAGTGGCGACCTGCAAGACGGCTCTGCAGCAGTGCCGCGCTGATCTAGTCAACTCAGTGCGGAGTGACAGCAGCAGCGAGAGCAAAAGCAGCAGCGACAGCAAAAGCAGCAGCAACAGCAAAAGCAGCGGCAGCAGCAGCAACACCAACTGCAGTAGTGGTGGTGCCACTACCACCACTGCCAGTAACAACAGCAGCACCAGCACCGACACCCCTCCCTCCTCTCCCTCCTCTCCCTCCTCTCCCTCCTCCCCCCCTCCTCATCTGAGCCGTCCCACATGAACTGGGAGCTGCTGGCAGGGTCCATCCCCACGGGCCCGCTCTCCGCCATCAAGGAGAAGATCGCCGAGATCAACCGCCAGCTGGACGACGGCCAGGTCAGCGTTCGCCCAATCGGAGAAGGAGAAAGCCCAGCTGGCTGCTGAGCTGGCAAAGGTGCGAGGTGCTGGAGGGGGGGCTGGGGGAGTGGCAGCAGCAGCAGCAGCAGCAGGGGGGAGTGCAGCGGCACGGTCGCCGGGGTTTGGGCTGTGCATGGCGACGACAGCGGAGATGCGGCGCTATCTCAACTACACCAAGCGTGCCGCCTGCCCCCACGACTGGCGCTTCGTCGAGCACCTCTGCTTTGCCCGCAACTGCCTGCACCTCCCCCGCCGCCGCTGCCGGGCTACTGCGCTCACTCCCCCGGATTTTCAAGAGTACAGTCTGGGTTTCCCGGCGGCTGTTTTCGCGAAAGACGCACTGCGAGACGAGAACGTGCGGTGGGGGGAGGGCATGCGGTGCGGGTCGTACAAGGAGTGCGTGGAGGTGAGTAAGGAGGAGGGCGCAGTGTGCAAGGGGTGCTTTGACGTGGAATTAGAGCAGCACTGGTGGGATAAGAGCGTGTCCGGCACCATTCCCCTTAAAGCCTTCCTCAAGCTGAAGCCGCCGGGTGCGCTGAGGATCGGGCTGGATGTGGGAGGCGGTACGGGGGGCTTCGCTGCGGTGATGGCTCTGCACAACATCACTATTATCACCACAGGGATGAACACAGATGGCGGACGTGAAGACGAGAAAGCTGTTCCATACATGCAGACAATCGCGCAGCGGGGCTTGGTCCCTCTGTACTTGCCACACTCCGCTCCGCTCCCGTTTTTCGACAACACTTTGGACCTCATTCACACGCTCAACAGCATTAAGTACCCGCACTTAGCTGAGTTCGAGGCGATGTTATACGAGTGGGACAGGGTGGTGAGACCGGGCGGGCTGTGGTGGATAGAGATGTTCTACGCGCCCGACAGGGAGATGAAGGCGTATGTGCAAGCGCTGGAGGCGTTTGGGTATGGCAAGCGGTACTGGAGCCTGGCGAGGAAGCAGCGCCCTTCGGAGCGCAAAGGGAACCACTTTGTGCTCACGTGTGTGCTGGAGAAACCGCTGAAGCTGCAAGCGTGATTGGGTTGAGATGGGCTGGAGCTGGTTCGAGGAGACGTGTAAGTGTGTGTGTTGCTTCTGATGCAAGTGCGTGTGCTGCTGTCAGCATTTTGGGCATTGGCATGGGTTTGTTGTGGCATGGTTATGGATGGTCAAGTGCATGGTATCGGGCATGGGTAAAGTTTGACCATTTGTATGGTCTGAGCATGGGTATTGTAAGTGTATGGGTATTGTAACTTGAAAGGGTATAGGCCTAGTCAAGCGATGGGTAGTTTATGGGTGTACGTATTGTATGGGTATGGGTAGGGTATGGGCTGTGTTGTGTGGGTGGATTTTGGATTTTTTATATGCGCATGGTTTTCGTATTGGCGTGTGTGTTTGGTCATGGCATAAGGATGAGTGATTACTGCTTCAAGCATTGGTACATGAATGGCATGGCAGGATGGGATGGGTTCACATGGCATGGCATGGGATGGGATGAAATGGGTTCACATGGCATGGCATGGGATGGGATGAAATGGGTTCACATTGCATGGCATGGGATGGGATGGGTTGACATGGCATGGCATGGCATGGCATGGGATGGCATGGCATGGCATGGCATGGGATGGCATGGCATGGGATGGCATGGCATGGGATGGCATGGCATGGGATGGCATGGCATGGCATGGCATGGCATGACATGGGATGGCATGGCATGCCATGGCATGCCATGGCATGGCATGGCATGGCATGGCATGGGATGGGATGGGATGGGATGGGATGGGATGGGATGGGATGGGATGGGATGGGATGGGATGGGATGGGATGGGATGGGATGGGATGGGCTGGGCTGGGATGGGATGGGATGGGATGGGATGGGATGGGATGGGATGGGATGGGATGGGATGGGATGGGATGGGATGGGATGGGATGGGATGGGATGGGATGGGATGGGATGGGATGGGATGGGATGGGATGGGATGGGATGGGATGGGATGATGGGATGGGATGGCATGAGATGGGATGGTAGCATTTGGGATATAGTGCGTGTCAAGATTACGAGACTGGAATGATTGAACTAACAGAGAAATCAGTACAAAATGGCAAACCCTAGAATTGTGTACCCCATATAGGTTAACCCACTGTAGCCTAACAAACCGCATAACATGTATAATGTTTGACACACCCCCATAGGCAAAGTGGGGGAGACCTAGGGGTCACAAGACCAGTCAAGGCAAAGCAAGGCAACAACAAGCTCAGGGTGGATCTCGAGGATTCCACACAAATTCCGAGCACAAGCTAGTGGTCACAAGACCAGTTCACATGCAGGTTTATAACAGAGCCAGAGATACAGTGATCACAACCTAGCAAGAGTAAACATGCAGGTATAGATATATATAGTGATCACAGTACAAGCAAAGTCAAGAGGTAAGCAAGTGAGGTCCAGTAGGCACAAGGCCTAGTAGAGTGCAGAAGCGCTGATGGTCACGAGGCTGAAGCGCCTTGGTGAACACATCAGCAGTGTTGGCCTCAGTGGCCACGTAACGAATACAAAGCTGACCGCGCTGCTGCAGCTCTCGAGCAAGGAAGTACCGCAGGGCGATGTGCTTCGTTCTGTGCTCCAGTCTGTGCTCCTCACACAAGGCAATGGCAGCCTTGTTGTCGACGTACAGTACTGGAGGAGAACGAGGCGGCTCTCCGAGGTCAGTCAGCAGGTAGGTCAGCCAGCGTAGCTCCTGGGCAGCCATGGCTGTAGCGTAGATCTCAGCCTCGCAACTGGAGCCGAGAACAGAAGACGAGCGTGTAGAGCGCCAAGAAACTGAGCCAGAGCCAAGGCTGAAGGTGTAACCCTGAGACGACCGCTGAGTGGCCTGGTCGTCTGCCCAAGAAGCGTCTGAGTGCCCTGTGAGCACAACTCGGTCTCGCCCTCCAAGTACAAGCCCCATGCCCGACGTACTGCACAAGTAGCGCAACACCCTCTTAGCGGCATCCATGTGCTCCTTCCTGTGATGGCCAGGAGCGACATAGCGTGCAAGGATGCTAAGAGGGTATGCAAGGTCAGGTCGAGTGCAGGTCATCAGGTACATGAGGCAGCCCACAAGCTCTGGATACGGGCCACTCGGCTCTACGGACTCATCCGAAGGCAGAGCTGAGAGCGAGTGACCGGTAGGCAGAGGAGTGGACTGAGGCGAGGAGTACGTGAAGCCGAAGCGCTGGAGAACCTGCTGCACCATGTGTGACTGAGTCAGGGTGATGGTGCGCCGTGCTCTGTCCCGGGTGATCCGCAAGCCAAGATAGCTTGTCAGCTCACCCAGGTCTGTGCACGTGTGTCTCCTCTGCAGCTCCGACTTCACGTAGGCGAGTCCTGCAGTGTCAGCAGTGGCAAAGACCAAGTCGTCGACGTACACGAGGATGTAGAACGGCGGCAGCGAAGTGTCGGTGCGCAGGAACAGCGACGGGTCAGCTGTAGAAGGCGCGAACCCAAGAGCCGCAAGTGTAGTCCTCAGTGTGTCGTGCCACTCACGCGGAGCCTGGCGGAGACCGTAGACCGGCCGCTGAAGCCTCCACTGGGTACCAGGAGGAAACGACCCAGTGAAGCCAGGTGGGCGGCGCAGCCAGATCTCCTCGTGCAGGCTGCCCTGCAAGAAAGCAGTGCTGAAGTCAAGTGAGTGAAGCTCGTAGTCGCGGTGAGCGGCTATGTGCAGCAGCACCCGAAGAGTGGTCATCTTTGGGGTGGGGGAGAAGGTCTGGAAGAAGTCAACTCCCTCTCGCTGACTGAAGCCTCGAGCCACGTAACGCGCCTTGAAGACAGACGGAGAACCCGACGGCCGCTTCACCCTGAAAATCCACATGCCACTGACGATGTTCGCCCCAGGAGGGGGAACCTCGTCGACGTAGGTGCGTGTGGACTTCCAGGAAGCCATCTCGGCGTCCATGGCCGTCTGCCACTGAGAGGAGTAGGGACCCGCCATCGCCTCAGCGTAAGTGCGTGGGGTCGGGATGTCTGGTGCATCCGGGTCTCCCTCAGGGGCAACTAGCAAGGACACGAGACGGGGCAAAGCAGCAGCAAGACACTGGAACTCCTCCTGTCTGTCCTCAAGGACGTCCGTGCCAAGAGCACACTCACCCCCGACGGACGGAGGACAGGCAGACTCAGACTCAGACTCAGCGACAAGGCTGGCAGCGTAGTCTAAGCGACAGCGAGCAGCAAAGTCAACCAACTCAGCGACCAGAGCAGACGCAGCAGAGGACTCAAAGGTCGGGTCAGTGACAACTGTAGCGAGGAGACGCGTAACAGTGGGACTGGCCGCACGACGGGAGTCAGACTCCGGGTCAGGAAGAGTAGGAAGAGAGGACGCAGGAGGAGACGGCAGCGGGACACGCTGCGGAGCAGTGGAGGGACGCAAAGTCATGTAGTGAGTGCCTGGGACAGGAGGAGGACGCTCACGCGGGACACGACGACCAGTGCGAGTAGTACGAACAGGCGACGCAGGACGAGACTCAGGCTCACGACGCTCTGTAAGACCTCCTGTGGGACCAGCGTAAGGAGAGGGAGCAGGGAGAGGCGAGGCAGGCGGTAACTGTGACTGCGGCTGGACAGGCAGAGGACACTCGACGGAGGGAGGAGGACTAGGAGGAGGAGCCTGACCAAGAACCTGCTGAAGGAGCGGTACGAAGTACGGTCGCGGCCGCGCAGCGTCTCCAGAACCAGCAGGGACACCAGCGGCAGCCCCAACGCCCGAGTCCTCAGCACCAGCAGCAGCTCCAACACCCGAGTCCTCAGCACCAGCAGCAGCTCCAACGCCCGGGTCCTCAGTACCAGCAGCAGAGCCACCGGTCAGGTCCTCAGCACCAGCAGTAGCGCCGCCGGTCGGGTCCTCAGCACCAGCAGCAGCTCCAACGCCCGGGTCCTCAGCACCAGCAGCAGCTCCAGCGTCCGGGTCCTCAGCACCAGCAACAGCGCCACCGCTCGGGTCCGCAGCACCAGGAGCACCACTCCGAAGACTGCAGCGCCGTGTGTACCACTCTCGGATCACCTGAATGGGGGGGAGCTCCTGGGTAGGAGGGGAAGTACTGGTACGAGCTCCAGAAGCACCTCTCCGGAGGCGGCAGTACTCGAGGTACCTCTCCTGCAGCTGCTGGGAGGAGAGGGCTCCTCCAGGTGTAGTACGCGCAGGCTCAGCACCCGAAGACTCAGCACCCCCAGACTCAGCACCCCCAGACTCAGCACCTCCAGGCTCCGCACCTCCAGGCTCCGCACCTCCAGGCTCAGCACCCCCAGGCTCCGCACCTCCAGGCTCAGCACCCCCAGACTCAGCACCCCCAGACTCAGCACCCCCAGGCTCAGCACCCCCAGACGCAGGACGCGAGTCAACAGCTACCTCGACAGGCTCACCCGGGTCTACCTGGGACACACCTGAGGGAGCGGCACCCTGAGGGGGGAGGGGGTCTGGTACCTCAGCACCTGGAGCGAGGAAGAGAGGCGGGGGGGGGAGCGGGGCAGTGCGGTAGGGGAAGAGGCGGTAGAAGGGGACGGACTCGTCAAAAGTGACGTCCTGAGAGGCCAGAACCCGGCGCGAGGTGACGTGGTAAAACTGCCATCCAGGCGCGTCAGGCACAAAGCCAAGAAAGACACAGGGAACGGCGCGACGCGAGAGCTTGTCCGCGGACGTGTCGCGGACAAAAGCTCGAGATCCCCAGACCCGGAAACGCGACGCATCGCCAACCTCTCCCGTCCACCGCAGAGTCGGGGAAGTCTCCGGCAAGGAGACACGGGGCCAGAGGTTGAGCTGATGCGCAGCGTATCGGACCGCAAACGGCCACAGAAAGTGGGGAGCAGCCGCATGGGTCAGGGAGGTACGAGCGACCTCCATGACTAGGCCAATGCGGCGCTCAGCGACCCCATTCTGCTGCGGAGAGGCCGGAAGCGTGAACGACTGCTCAATGCCGTGCTCAGCACAGTAGGCTGCCAAGAGGTCGGAGGCGAACTCACCACCTCTGTCAGAGTGCAAGCGCAGGACAGGAAAGTCCGAGTGAAAGCGCTTGCCTAGCTGGAGACGGGCTCGGCTGATCCAGGGGATCAAAACACCAGGGACGTCACCCTTGGCGCGCAAGGGGAAGACCGTGGTGTAGCGCGAGTAGTCGTCAACAACTATCAGGAAGTACCTCTCCTGACCCTGACCACGGACGCGGGCTGGGCCCCACACGTCCATGTGGAGCGTCTGCAAGGGAGCAGTCGTCGGGGGAAAGGAGGAGGAGTGAGGAGCGGCGCGCTGCCGCCCCTCGACACAGGGAATGCAGTCAGGAGCAGGGGAGTCGGGAAGGGGAGGGAGCACCCTGGGAAGACCAGCAACAAGGTCCCGTTTGTGCATGGCCCGAAGGCGCTGCACAGACGGGTGACCAAGGCGGTGGTGCCAGAGGACAGTCTCATGCGCCAGAGAGCGACACGAGCAGGGGGCGGACAGCTGACCTGACGCAGACGCAGACGCAGCTACCTGAGGGGACTCAGTGGTCAGTGTGTACAGGTCCGACCCCGGCTCTCGAGTGAAAGTAGCCAGGTGGCGGCCCGTCCGAGCACACGTGCAGTGTGTCACACGCTCGTAGGCAGGGGTGAACTGGTGAACACCCCCGTCCTGCAGCGCACAACCTGCCACCAAGTTCGTAGAGAACGAGGGGAGGTAGAGACCTGAGAGCGTGCCGGACGGAACCGCTGGACACGGAAGTGTAGTGGAGGAGGTCGCAATGACCGGACCCCCAGAGGGGTCAGCAAGAGAGACAGCAACCGGCCGAGCTAGTGGCTCAAGGACAGTGCGGTCACGGAAGAAAGAGCGAGAAGCACCTGAGTCCAGTGTGAAGGTGTGCAGTGCTGCAGTCGACTCAGTACCAGGGGGCACAGACGCACTAGCACCTAGGGCAGCTGCTGCAGGAGGACCTGTGGGAGCAGACACACTAGCACCTAGAGCAGCAGCTGGGCTGGCCTGAATGCCCGGGTCGGGCGGAACACGCAAGTACTGGGCACCCTCTCCACTAATAGACATCGCATACATAGCAGTGAGAATAGCATCAAAGTCTAAAGCCCAGATATCAACACCCTTCTTTTCCAGCTCAGGCCAGCGGGGGAGCTCAGTAGACCCAGGAAACTGGATGCGCCACGCGTCAGTCAGGCGCTGGAAGCAGCGCTGCGTGGGGTGCGGCCTCCCACATGGCTGGCCAGTGCGGTCACCAGTGCGGATGACGTACGTGCAAGTGTACCCACGCTGCGCGTACCACTCACGGGCGGCCTGGAGGGTCGGGGCGTGCTGCTGACTCTGGCCACCTCCAGCGTCTCCACGGCCACCACCGCCACCGCCACCGCCACCGCCACCGCCACCGCCTCGGCCACCTCCACCCCTGCCACGGCCACGACCGCCACCGCCGCCGCTGCCACCTCCGCCTCTGCCACCACCCCCGCCGCCGCTGTCACCACCCCCACTGCCGCCACTAGCCTCTCCAGACCCACCGCCACCTCCACTGTCTCCACCCCCGCCTCCCCCGCCTCCACCCCCACCCTTGCCCCCCCTGCTCTTGCGGCGCCCGCTCGAAGCAGACGCAGCCCCGACCTTCTCAGCACCAAGGAGGTCGACAGCAGCAGCAGTGGCGACAGAGGGGAGAAGGGGGGAAGGGGAACACCCCTCGAAGAAGGGGGTGCGGGGCTCGCCACGAGAGGCACCTACGGCGACGATGCTCGCCTCAGCTGCAAGTAGGTCCTTCTCGAGGAGGGCAATGGTGAGCTCAGTAGGGGAGCGAGCTAGAAAGGAGTCCCTGACTGTGCGCAGAGAGTCAGGGAGGCGGGTGACAATGTGGTAGAGGGTGAGCCAGAGCGGGGGGGGGTTGCTAGCAAGGAACTCGGCAGGCATAGCAGCGCGAAAACGGGCCTCACTAGTCTTGAGGTGGGTGATGAGATCAGCGACAGTGTGAAAGGAGGCCAGGTCGGGGAACAGGTAGGGCAGGGAGAGGCGGCCTAGGGTGGCAGACGCAGGCGAGGAGTAGCGAGCAACTACGGCTGTGTGCAGTTCTTTAGCAGTCTTGCACTGGCCGAAGTGCTCGCGCTCATCTAGCGGCAGGGAGTTGCGGATAGCAAAGCGAGCGTGTGCGTCGCGGGTCTGCCACTGGGAGCGCAGTGTGCTAGCAGCAGAGGAGTCAGGGGCAGTAGCATGGCCTAGGGCGTGGTCGTACAGTGAAATGTCTTCCTTGGCAGTGAGCTGTAGGAAAAGGTGCAGATCATCGAGCCAGGTGTCAAATTTCACTGGGCGGCCCTCAGCGTCGAAGGCTAGAACAGGAGCAGTAGCCATGGTAGCAGGAGGAGGAAAAGTAAGTAATAAACGTGGCAGTGACAGTAGCAGCAGGGCAAGGCAGGGCCGGGGCAGTCGCGACAGCGGCGGCAGTTGCTGCAGGTTCGGCTACAGTAGGGACTGCAGGGCCGGCGGCAGCCGATGGAGTAGACTCGGCGGTTGCGGCTGCTGCAGGATCGGCGGCGGCTGCTGCTGCTGGGTCGGCGGCGGCTGCTGCTGCAGAGGCAGCGGCGGCTGATGCTGCTGTAGCTGCGGCGGCCGCTGCTGTAGATTGCGGCGGCTGCTGCTGCCGTAGATGCGGCGGCGGCCGCTGCTGTAGATGAAGGTAGGTAGCGGTGGGCCCTAAGAACGGTCCTAGCGAAGGACCTGCTCTGATACCATGTCAAGATTACGAGACTGGAATGATTGAACTAACAGAGAAATCAGTACAAAATGGCAAACCCTAGAATTGTGTACCCCATATAGGTTAACCCACTGTAGCCTAACAAACCGAACATTTATAATGTTTGACAGTGCGGTGCCTTGCAATGCTGCGTAATCCATTTTCATAAGCGAGTGCATGGCTCTGGTCAGCTTTACTGACATTCATGCACTCTTGCTTTCACTTCATTCTTTTGTCCCCCTTGGCCTTACTTGTATGGCCTGTCCTACAGGCGCCTCTGAATTGGGTTAGGAGTTGACTGCCATGGCTGGATGCATTACTATGTATGGCACAGCAGGTGGTGTGAGCATTGGCCACAGGAGCATGCTTAGGGCTAGCATCAGAATAGTACTGTAGTAAATGTATGTACTAATCATGTACTAATCATGAATGCAGCTTCTGCAGCACATTTCAAGTTCTACAACACAGTAACACACGGAGGATTAGTGTACCCTTACCAGCTGATGGTCTAGACTAGAACAATATCTGTAATCTCAAAAACTGGGTGAGGAAAATAAAAAACACCAACATTTATCTACACAAGCACATATAGGACCTTTATACAGTTCATGGTACCGTACATTGGTGTCACTCATTGCTTGTCTGGCACCAGAATGTTGTTAATGCCATGCACATAGAAAGATGTGCCCTTGTACAGGTTGGGGTACACTATAGTGGCGTTGCGCTCATTGGATGGCGCCTGCAGCACAACGTGCGTTGCGTTGCTCGCACTGTTCTTCACCAGGTACTTTCCTGGAAGCAGCGTTGTGTACTGGCGGAGAGGAGAGCAGAATGGGGGGGTATGGTAGGGGGGAGGGAGGAGTGGCAAGTCAACTGTGAGCTGAGGAAGCATAGGGGATCAAGAGAGAATGAGATGAAGCAATAATGAATTGCAAAAACCGTGCAAGCAGCACACTAAAACACATGAACGGAAGCTCAAGGTGAACAAATCAGTCGTCTTGTTTCATTCTCCCCCTTTAACAACAGAGTCGTAACAAGAAGGGTGGAGTGCACACACCTGCGTGCCAGGAGCACCCGCTAGCAGATCCGCGTGTGATTTATATCCATCAATGATTTGATAGAGTGTAGTTTCGTCTGTGGTGTACCCGTTACAGACTGTCACTGCTCCGCCCACTACAGCGTCCATGGCGTTGGGCAGGGGCATGAGAATGGTGGCCCTCTTGTTGCCCTCGAGAATGTCGCGCAGCGTGGTTACCAGATCTGATGTGTTAGAACAAAAGATGCGGGAGGGAGGGAGGGAGGGAGGGAGGGAGGGAGGGAGGGAGGGAGGGAGGGAGGGAGGGAGGGAGGGAGGGAGGGAGGGAGGGAGGGAGGGAGGGAGGGAGGGAGGGAGGGAGGGAGGGAGGGAGGGAGGGAGGGAGGGAGGGAGCGACCGAGTGGGGGAGCAAGGGAGTTGGGACGGGAAAGAGGGAGGAAAGGGCGGAAGGAAGGACGGAGAAAATGAGTGCAACAAACGGACAAATCCAACAGAGGAGAACAAGAGAGTGGCCGAAAGCGCATGACGCATGTACGACGCACGGACGACACGTGGACGACGCGTGGACGCGCCGCCGCACCTGACTGCGACGCCATGAGGAGGAACGCCGGGCTCGCCGCCGCCAGTGCCGCCAGCGCGCCCTGAATTTCCGTCAGCTGCGCTGACGTGGCACGCGACAGCAGACTCCGCCGGTCCTTCGGCGAAGCAACGGCGTCGCGCTCTGCACCGGCGACGGGAGGGGCGGAGGAGGCGAGGAGGAGGAGGAGCAAGGCGGCGGAAGCGGCGAGGAGAGATCGCGACGCGCCGGACACATGCCGCGGCGCGGCGAAAACGAGTGTCGTCATCTGTGAGCTTTTGCCTGTTCGGTGAAAGAGAAGATATATTAGAGACTACTAGCTACTAGGGCAAGAAGGGACCCCCCTGGTCGGACGACGCGAACAAGGCGAGGATTGCCGAGTGGTTCGATGAGGGCGACAAACGCGAGGAGTGGGGAAAGCGGACTTCTCAAGAGGCGGCGGCGCGTGTGCGGCGGAAAATCTGAGTTCGAAGCTGCTCTCAAGGCGGCGTCGACATTGCACACATGGACCGCCTCGGTATACAGGCTTGCATGGCACGGCGGAATGATTATGGCAGGCAAGTTGCTCTGTGAAATGGAGATGTGGCAAGTTCGTGAGTGCAAGATTCGAAGGATTGAGAGAGCAGGTTCGAGCAGGTGATGATTCTTGTTGTGAAGCTTGGGGAGCCACGAAGGGTTGGTGCGGCGGAGGAAGAGAGGCGCGGCGGGGAGAGAGCAACCAGAGGATGGTAGTACGAACAGGATTCGCAGCGATGCGCGCGAAGACTATGCAGAATTCGCAGTGAGAGGGATTCAAGTGAAAACGCTAGTGGAGCTGGTGTGGGAAAGGCGGCGATTTTCAGAGACCGAGAGCTGGGTATTTTATTTGTCGCTCGGCAGAAGGTAGACAGCACAAACCTTCCAACCGTCACAGATATGCAATCTAATGCAGAAAACCTCACCAAACCGTTTTGAACACACGAACAAATTGGGAGCAGCAACATATGCTTGGTTGGTGGCTGGTGTGGATGGCAGGGTGGTGGAGGGGGAGGTGAAGCGAGGTGGCGGGGAAGGCGACGCTTGTGCGCCGCCCGCCAGGTTTGGATGACAGCTGGTGGTGGGCTGGCTGGCGACGCGCAACCGACCTAGTGGACTAGGCGGCTCTCAATTATTTCAATGCAGACTTGTACATCTGGCCTAAATCCAAATTAGTAAATCATTAAAAAGGACAACTAGAATGTGGCCCTTCCCTCTTTTTCCTGCAACCCTAACAGCTAACAAAGAAAACATTTCTATTAAAGAACCTCAAATTCTTCCCGACGAGATTGCTTCCTTCCCTTCTCATCCTCGATTACCTATCCTATCCCCAGCCCCCCCCCATGCCGCCATCTCCAGGCCTGTCCATGCGATAATTCCCATGTGGCCCCGCATGCCTCGACGGGGGGAGAGGAGGCATGTTATACCCCCCCATACCACCACCATCCATTCCTCCCCCCATCCCAACCCCTCCCATACCTCCCATCCCTCCTCCCATTCCCCCTCCCATGCCCCCTCCCATTCCCCCACCCATGACCCCACCAGCACCACCAGCAAAAGCACCCATACCCCCTGAAGAGGGTCCCGGGGGAAAGAACGCGCCCCCTGCAAGCCCCAAGCCACCTCCTTCCCGCGGCATCCCTCCCATTTGACCCCCCATGCCCCCTCCCATACCTCCTGCCATACCTCCTCCCATGCTTCCTCCCATACCCCCTCCCATACCTCCGCCCATACCCCCTCCCAGACCTCCTCCCATACCTCCTCCCATGCCTCCTCCCATGCCTCCTCCCATACCTCCTCCCATACCTCCACCCAAACCTCCTCCCATGCCTCCTCCCATAATGCGGGGATTTTGAAGCTGCTGCTGCTGCTGTTGCTGCTGTTGTTGGGAAGGCGATGGGGAAGAGGGAGGGTAGGAGGGAGTGGGTGGTGTGGTGGGTAGGTAATTGGCAGGGAGAGGGGGCATGGTGGGAGGGCGGGCAGGGGCAGGTGGAGAGGAGAATTGGGGTGGGAGAGATGAGGGCGCAGAAGGAAAGTGAGGAGGGAGGGGAGGTTGGCGGGTGGATTGGGGGGGGTTGGGAGGGGTGGAAGGGGTGGGAGGCGGAGGGAGAGGAGGTCGATTGAGAGAGGGAGACGGGAAGCCAGAATGAGAAGGATTAGGGGGAGTGGATTGGAACGCACTGCTGCTGGGAGGGAGAGGCGGGTGTGATGGGGAGTGAGTGTGCGAAGCATAGAAGGTAGAGGAAGGGGAGGCAGGAGGGGCAGAGAGTGGAAGGGGGGGTTGAGGGAGGGGAGGGGGGCGCGGGGCAGGAGGGGAGGGGAGGGTTGAGGGGGCGAGTGAGGGAGGTGGAAGGGGACGGGCGGGAAGCGATGAAGGGGGGGGTGGGAGAGGAGGGTGCTGCTGCTGTTGCTGCTGTTGTTGCTGCTGCTGTTGCAGGGAGGCGGGGGGGCCTGAGGGTGCAAGGGGAGTGAAGCTCCCTGCACCAGCGGAGTCTGGGTTAGAGGGAAGTGGGGGCGTAGCGGCGTGCAGAGGGGGAAGAGGCTGGCGCGCGGGCGGGGGGAGGGGAGGGGGGAGGGAGGCCGGGGCGTGGGGGGGAGCGGAGGGTCTGAGGGCAGCGGGTGAGGGGGGGAGGGGAGCAGCAGTGGGGTATGCCCGCCCTGCACTGAGAGTGCCCCCAATGCCCCCCACTGCCCCATTTTCACCACCCCCGGCTCCCACACTCGCTCCTCCCCGTGCTGTTCCTCCGCCTCCTCCTGCCTTTCCTCCGCCCAGCCTCCCACCAGCAACACCGCCAGGAGAAGAAGCAGTGACACCTGAAGCACCACCAATTGCACCTGCCTTACCCGGCCCAGAGCCCCCAACCACCCCCACTGCAACCCCTCCTGAACCTCCTCCCGCTGACCCTCCTGTTGTTGCTTCTGCCATTGCTGCTGCTGCTGCCAGCCCTGCTGTCGCCCCTGCGACCGCCACTTCTTTCCCTCCCCCATCCGCCACCACAGACCGACCAAAGCCCTGCCCATGCCACCCCTCCCCATGCCCCTCCTCCCCTCCCTCCTCGCCTCCCATCTCACCCATACTTTCAGGCGAGGTGGCGGGAGTGAGTGACGGGGGAGGGGGGAGGAGGAGGTGGGGGCGGGAGGGGTGGGAGGCGATGGAGGGGTGGGCGGAGCGGGCGTGGGAGGAGAGGAGGGCGAGGCGGGGGAAGGAGAGGAAGCAGTTGGGGGCAGCACAGATGTAGAGGCCTCCTTGGTAGGCGGAGATGGGGAGCACTGCTGTTATGGGCGCCAGGCACCTGGTGGGGGTAAGGGAGAGAAGTGCAGGAGGTAGAGAAGGGAGGGAGAAGAGAGAGTCTGGAAGGGCCAAGGGGGCTTGGGAAGAAGGTCCCTTTCATGTAGAGGCCCCTTGCAGTTGGGGGCGGCGCAGATGTAGAGGCCTCCTTGGTAGGCGGAGATGGGGTGTACTGCTGTGATGGGCGCCAGACACCTGGTGGGAGGGAGAGGGGGAGGGAGGGAGGGAGGGAATGAGGGACGGAGCGAGGGAGCGAGGGAGGGGGAATAAGAGTGCGGATGGGCATGGGGGGCAAAGGAACAAGGTGTAGCAGTTGGGTGCAGAGCAGATGTAGAGGCTGCGAAAAGGGCGGGATGGTGAGGGGACGCGTGAGGGGGAGGGTGAGGGGATGGTGAGATGGGTGAAAGATGGGGAGGGGAGGGGAGGATGGTCACGTGCACGGGAATGGGAAGGAGGAGAAAGGAAGAAGGATGCGATGGATGGGTGTAAATAGCTTGATAATTTTGATACAAAAGAGTGCGTGAGAAATATGAACGACTTGCCCTCAAAATCCACGCAAAACGAAGTAATTAATGGCAATAATTTTCGACGGTACGCGCGTCACCGAAGCAGGAACCTGGGAGAGAGTTTCAGGCTTGGATGGAGGGGAGCATGTGGTTTGTTAGAACAATCGCGCGGATGGTTTCTATGATGCGACACATCTTAAGTGATGAGGAGATAAAAATTATACGGAGCAACGGAGCCGCGCACTTGAGTTGGTGGAGTACGATTAAAGATGCAAACTTGGAGAGGGAACAGTGGGGTGCTGACGGCAGATACCTGCCAAGCATTTGTGCTCGTGTTCAAAGTGCGAGGGTGCTGGAAGGGGCTACTATTATTAGGGTGCGATTCTCCCATAATAGCAGCCCCTTCCAACACCCTCGCACTTTGAACACGAGCCCAAACGCTTGGCAGGTATCTGCCGTCAGCACCCCACCGTTCTCTCTCCAAGTTTCCATCACTAAACATATTACATCAACTCAAGAGCGCGGCCCTGTTGCTCTGTAAAAATTTTATCTCCTCATCACTTATGTGTCACGCCATAGAAACCATCCGTGCGATAGTTCTAGAAGATGCCGACTCTATTGTATGGAGCACACGCGTTATAGCAGACCATGTGCTCTTCTCCACCCAAGTCTGAAACTTCCTCCCAAGTTTCTGTTTCGGCGACACGAGTACCGTCGAAAAAATCTTGCCATTATTGTCAACACGGAAAGCATAACTCCCGAAGTGGCTACATAGCATGGCTGTGCACGAGCATCAACTTACAGTCGAATGCTACTGCCGCATCACCATCCCCACCATCCCCACCATCCCCACCATCTCCAAATGGCTCCACCAAAGGAGAATCACTCCACCGCCCCTTGCACTGGAGGAGACTCATCGCCATGCATGCTTGCGACGCACACACACACACCCACAATGACGTTGGCGCTCTTGAAAATGAGCGCCAAGCAACAAAACACTTGACGAGCATTTCGACACAGAACGCTCCGCATTTTTGTTTTTGCACAAACATTTTCACGTCGAATTCCGACTCGAAGTTTCGACATCCAAAAGCCGCTTGACAAAAATGCACCCCCAAACCAAACCAACTAACATTTCAGCCACCAACTGCTTTGAACACTGCACAACATCGACAAAACCCAACAAACGCACAGCACAACACAATACCTCATGCTGCAAACTCCACCTCGCCATTGAGGCTTCTGTTTTTTCTCGACCAGCAACTATTACTGCAACCTAAGTCGCCATAACAGCCACTTTGTAGGCATTTATGTCCCGAAACCAATCCGAGGGCGTACGCCAAAGCATGAACGCCAAGCATTTTTACAGATAAAGAAAAAAACACTGGACTCGCAAAGCTCTGAACGCTAACGGTGGGGCTGGCATGCAGCTCGCCTCGCCCTCTTGCAAACTTGCATCCACCCACAGGTGCACACCCACAGAGCAGCCAGGAGGGACGAGCTGCATCTCAGGCAGGCAAGCGGGTGTTAACCCGCAGGTGGGAATGAACGCAAGTCTCCTCCTGTGGGTTGAGGAGGGACGAGCTGCATGCAAGCACTGAACGCTAACGGGCTGGCATGCAGCTCGTCTCAGCCTCTTGCTTGCATCCCCACAGGTGCACACCCACGGAGCAGCAGCCAGGTAGGCGGACGTTAAGGGGTTGACGTGAAGGGGTTTAACAACGGGGTAACGGGGCTGACCTGTAGCAGGCTTTGAGCGCAGAGGCACACTTGAGGCAGAATGCGTGCGTGCAGGGCTCCTGGTGGCAGGCGGGCGGGGGTGGAAACGGACAAACAGAAGCGCACTTTGAGGCAGAAGCATGCATACGGAGGTTGAGAAGAGAAGGTATGAAACCAAAGCATTCAGGTTGAGGCAGAAAGCGGGCGTGCAGTGCAGGGCTCCTGGTGGTGGGGATGGGGATGGGGATGGATGGATAGAGACACGATTCGATGCAAATTGCATGCATACGAGAATGGAATGCGCGTGAGCAGGGATCCTGGTGGTGGGGGGATGGATGAGCGGTAAGCTAAAGATAGAGTGCGCAGATAGAGTGGGCATGGACCTCAATCAAAGAACCCGGACGAGGATTCATTCAAACCTGCATGAAGAAACAGCCAAACCCAGACTAGCCAATGACTCGTTTTGAGGCGCCTCGAACCTAGACCAGCCCCTGCCGAACCGGTTCGTTTTCGACCCGGGCTGGCCTTTTTCTTGGACTGGTCAGCCTGGGTCGGGCCGGGGCTGGATTCGGCCCAGGTGAAGTGAAGTGAAGTGACAAGGTTTGACTTTCACCTGCGTGTGGAAAGTCGAACCGGGTCCGGGCCAGTTCGACTCAAGGCTCAAGCCACGGCGCGGCCCAATAGGAATGTTGCGTGGCCTGGCCAGAGCACATGTGACAGATTGCGCGAGGGTGCTTGTAGTAAGACCAAGCGATGAAAGGCTGGAGCTCACTTGTTGGCTCCAGCCTTCATCTTTCTGGCCAGCCTAGTCTTTGACTGACTGACCTCATTCCCCACCAAAGTACCGTGTTCGTATGATTGGTTTCCAAGGGTTAGTGCATGCGACTAATTACCTTCGAGAAGCCTAAGGGGAAACTACCCATACCGAGGGACTTTGAGTCGACTCAAAAGTCACCTTGAGGGATGAACTCAAACCTACAACGAGATGGCCCACGCTGACCTGAACTTTGAACTCTCCCCTTCCCCCTCCCCCCCCCCCCGCCAAATGGAGCCGACTAAGGGGAAACTACCCATACCGATGGAGACTACAACGAGATGGCCCAGGCTGAACTCCCCTCCCCCCCCCTCTCCCCCCCCCTCCCCCTCTCCTGAGCCGACTAAGGTTCGACCCGAACCTATAATAGACCGGGTACACTTGGGGGAACCTGAGCCCAGGTTGTTCACGAACCGGCTGCTTCGGCCCGATCCTGTCATTGGCCTAACTAAGATTCGAACCATGCCACCCGGGGTTCAGCTGTGGTCATGCCTAGCTCAGAAGGGAGTGAGAGAGGGGAATGAGGAGCGAACGGAGAGGCGAAAGAGGAGGGGTGCGAAAGTGAAAGAGGAGTAAGGCGTGGCAGGTCATGGGGTGCGGAGACGTGCCATGGCAAGTCACCAGACGGCCAGCGGAGGTAGGTGTGCGAGGCAGTGGGGGGAGGCCGGGGGAAGTGGGGATGGGGGGTGAGTGGGATGGGAACTCATGCGGCTGCCATAGGATGCAATGGGGAGGTGACACTTGGCGCAGCAGTGCAGGCGGGTGCCCGAGCGATTGGGTTGATGTGTGGGATGAGAGAGGTGACAATGGGGGCGATGGGGGGTCGAGGGTCAAGGCAACAGGGGGGAAGAGGGGGGGGGGGGGGGGTGGGGCGAGGGGGGGGGGGGGGGGGTGGTTGGGGTTGATGGCAACTCACCAAACGCCCATAGGAGGCAATGGGGAAGTGGCACTTGGCGCAGAAGCGCAGGCGACTGCCCGAGCGGCGCATCACGTGGTGTGCGGTTAAGATAGGTGGGGATAGTGCGGTTTAGAGTGGTGATGATAGGAAGACGTGCTGTGGCAACTCACCAGGCGCCCATAGGAGGCAATGGGGAAGTGGCACTTGGCGCAGAAGTGCAGGCGGGTGCCTGAGCGGCGCACCACCCTAAACCCCTCCACACGCACTCCCCTCACCTCCCTCTCCCTCACTGCCCTCTCCGCATCCATCATCTCCTCCCCCTCCCCATCCTCTTCTTCCTCCTCTTCCTCGTCCTCCACATCCTCCTCCTCCTCCTCCTCCTCCTCTTCTTCCTCCTCCTCTTCTTCCTCTTGTTCCTCCGCGCCGTCTTCATCCATCCATCCATTCCCTCCCTCCTCCACTGACTTTGACCGCTCCCTTCCCTCCCATACCTCTTCCCCCTCCTCACTATCCTCATCCGACTCCTCCTCTCCCTCCTCCTCCGCCTCCTTCCTCCTCTTCCTCTTCCTCCTCCTCCTCCTCCTCCTTACCCGCCCCCTCTTCCCTCGTCTTTTCTGCATTTCGGCCATTTCCCCCCTCCCGCTCCTCCTTACCCTCCCCCTCGTATTCCTCTCTATCAATCTCGTCTTCTCCATAATCC